ATGTGAACATCCTCAGCAGAGGGGTACAGATGACTCACCTAAACCTCATGTCTGTCTGAAAGTATAGTCGCTGGAAACTTTTTCAGCATGGAAATATCACTGTCATAAAAAAGCATTACTCGATATGCAGGGTTAAAAGCCAACCTGTCAGACTAATAACAAGAAAGTCAAGCGAGCAGTAACTGACCATTAAACATATAGATTCCCAGCAGCTAGAAACTGTTATGAATTCAGGATTTTGCTGACACAGCACCATGAGAGTGCTGTTTCCAAGATCCGAGGGAGCCTGAAGCCAGAATGTCCACACACAGCAGAGCCCTGGCTAGTAACGTTGAGAGTGCAGAAGCCCCCGCCCCCAGACTCCTGCAAGGCACTCGCTGACCAGTGCATCCAGCGGCATGTCACCTTCGTGGTTAATCAGTAAACTGGAGTCAGACCTCAAAGGACAGATCAAAGGAGCTGGAGAGATGGCTCAACAGGTAAAGGTGCTTCCCACCAAGCCTTGCAGCCTGCCTTTGAGAACCACACGGTGAAGAGAACTGACCCCTCAAGCTGTTCTCTGATGTGCACACATGCCATAGCGCATCTCCACCCCAAACACAAACACATATGCTCTCTGATGTGCACACACGTCATAATGCATCTCCACCCCAAACATAAACACACATGTTCTCTGATGTGCACACATGCCATAGCGCATCTCCACCCCAAATACAAACACGTATGTTCTCTGGTGTGCACACATGTCATAGCACATCTCTACTCCAAACACAAACACACATGTTCTCTGATGTGCACACATGCCATAGCGCATCTCCATCCCAAATACAAACACACATGTTCTCTGATGTGCACACACGTCATAGCACATCTCCACCCCAAACACAAATGTTCTCTGATGTGCACACATGCCATAGCGCATCTCCACCCCAAACACAAACACGTATGTCCTCTGATGCACACACATGCCATAGCGCATCTCCACCCCAAACACAAACACGTATGTTCTCTGATGCACACACGTCATAGCACATCTCAATCCCAAACACAAACACACATGTTCTCTGATACGCACACATGCCATAGTGCATCTCCATCCCAAACACAAACACATATGTTCTCTGGTGTGCACACATGCCATAGCACATCTCCACCCCAAACACAAACACGTATGTTCTCTGATGTGCACACATGCCATAGCGCATCTCCACCCCAAACACAAACACGTATGTTCTCTGATGCACACATGTCATAGCGCATCTCCATCCAAAACACAAACACACAATAAAACGTACTTTAAAAAAAAAAAAAAAGAATAGATTAAAAGACACAACATGGTAATCAGACCACTGCCTTTTGGCTGGGGAGGACATGAGGAAGAAGGCAGCCATATTCCAAAGAGGAATCTGACCCAGAACTCCCTAACATAAATTTCTCAACAATGTTCCTCTAGCTAAAGAAGCCAAACTCCTTGTTTAACCCTGTCCCCAGGTAAGGTCCTCCATGATCTAGCGCCTACGCACCTGCCAGAGCTCATGCCCCACCACGTGTCCCCAACAGTCCTGGGGACCTCCTACTGTCTGAAGCGGTTGGCAGTTTCCCTTAAGACATACTGTAAAGTTCACATTACTTTCTACTCTGAAGGTGAGGAAGGAGTCACCTGAGCACCTAGGGTCACTGGGCATAAACTCAACCACAGTGCTTGCAACACCCGTAGAACTCTCCTTGTGAGACAAATCGTGGTCATTTTTGTCATGATTCATCAGTCATATTATTTCAAATTTAAGATCACGGGACAGCTGAGTTCCTTAGAGAGCACACTGCACCAAATCACTATCCCCTGTTCATTATCTTGACCAGGAAGCTGGTGAGGATGGGGTGTTAGGTAAAGAGTTGTGCTGGCCTGTGCAACTACACACCAGAGAAAATTCAAGGTCAGATAAGAACAGCAGGTGCTGCGGAAAAGAATGTGTTTAACAGAAGGGCCAATCTGCCAGCTTGAGCCTTTTTCCTCCTCTGCAGGATGTTGGTCTTGCTCTTTTCTACCACTAGATATAGTCATGAGTCCCTGAGTGACATTGCTACTAAACATTCTTATGCCAAGAATATTTGAGGGAGAGGGTCACTCGGGAAGGAAGGAGGTGTTAAAATGTTTTTTTCAGTATGTAGCGGCTGTGAGCTTATCAAGATCCCAAATGAAACGATGATTCACCTCTGAGGTCTAAGAATTGAAGCTCCGGAATTCTTGGGAACAAATCACCCCCACCCCGTTCCATGTCCTATAACACCACAGCCATCCCACTTAGGCCTTTGAAAGCCTGACAGGTATCTTCCTGCACTCGGAAGATCAGCGTCATGGCAATCTTCAGTGCACACAGTCCCCTCAAGCCTACAGGCTCCATCCAAGGGCAGGAAGAAGAACAATGGTTGTACTGTCAAGATAACTCTCAGCCCAGAGAGAGGGTCAGGACAGAGACAGAGAGGTGCCAGGCAGCTAGCTGACAACAGGAAGCTGGTCTGGACATGGGAAGGAGTACATGAGGATGAGATTAACTTTGAGAAAAGTACTGAGGCCTTCAAGATTTGAAAGAGAAAAGGTGACTATGCCCAGATGACTCTCCAGGTCTTGGCTTAAAAGGAAAAGCAAGGGAACCACTCTCCACCTGGATGAGATGGAGGGAGAGCAGAGATCTGTGAGGAGGGAGGGAGAGCAGAGATCTGTGAGGAGGGAGGGAGAGCAGAGATCTGTGAGGAGGGAGGGAGAGCAGAGATCTGTGAGGAGGGAGGGAGAGCAGAGGTCTGTGAGGAGAGAGAGCAGAGATCTGTGAGGAGGGAGAGCAGAGATCTGTGAGGAGGGAGGGAGAGCAGAGATCTGTGAGGAGGGAGAGCACAGATCTGGGAAGAGCTAAACCATGGCCACATGGAGCTTGAGGCGCCCCTGCCATACCCACGTTTGCCAACTGTTGAACAAGAAACAGAAAAGACGGGACAGCACAAAGGAATCGTGGGGAATAATGAGCACCTGAGGGGGTCTCTGTGCTGACTGCTTCTGTCATCTTCACTCACTGAGTGTCCCTGCCACTGTGCCAGCTCAGGATGCAGTGCAACCAGCGAGACCAAGCTCAACTAGGAGGTGTGCGGCTGCCTCTGTCACAGTCCCAGCATCACAGGCACCCAAAGAAAACAAAAACCCTTAGGTATCTAATGACAAGAGGAATGGAGAGAAAGAATTTGGTTTATATGGAATTTTTTTGCACCCATAAAGGCAAAATTATGTCATTTGCAAGAAAATGGATGCCGCCAGAAATAGTCATATTAAGCAAATTAAGTCAGTCTCAGAAAGACAAATTTCAGTTTTCTCTTTTTTTTTTTTGTGCTTCCTAGATTTCACGGAGATATTAAAATTATGTATATATGTATACATGACATGAAGTAAAACTGTCCAGGGAGAGAAAGGGACTAACGGGTGAAAGGGGAAGGTAGAGACATGGGGGGAGGTTAATACTCTAAGTATAATACTTGTATGAAAATTCCTCCATGTGACAGGACAATATATAGTGGAAATACACAATGAAATCTTTTTTTAATTTGCTTTATGTTACAACTGTAAGTGCACAGCCCAACAATAAATTCTTCAGTTACAGAGTCATGGAGCTCTGCTGATCTCTCCCCTCAGGTATTCCTAGGAACAGAGCGGTGGTATTAGTCATGGGTCCTGCAACTCATACCTGGAGAATATGGGCCTGTTTAGAAGGCTCCGTTCAGTCCCAGGGCAACTGGTATCAAACATAGAGGAAAGCCTTCCAAATGAAGAGACCGGAAAGGTCAGCCTATTTCAGGAAACAATGGTTCATTGAAATTGCATCCTGCTCTCAAGCGAATTTGCCTCCTTCTGGACTACAACCTGGCCTAGCACTGTGGCATCTGTTTTCAAACTTCCTCAGCAAAGGACACATCAAATGTCAGTTGACAATCTGCTTTCTAATTAAAAGTTGATTCTTTTCTTTTTTTAGAAATTGCATTTAACTAAACAACTCCACACGGCAATTCAGTGTGCAGTGCCACCTTGATTGACAGGAGCATTTGCAATTATTTTAAAAATGAAAAAGAAAACATCATCAGATGCAGCAGAATCGTTGATAGGACACTGACTTCAGCTGATTTATCAAGTAGGACCATGCAGCGTTCATATGAAACAACTATACTCCCAGCATGTAAATGAGCCCTAAGTGCAGAGAGGGCACTTTCAAGGCTGACTGGAAGGTACCCGGAGGAGGCTCCTGGCTGTAGAGGAAAGCTGGCGATAGAGAAACAGCAGGGTCAACCAGACAGCAAAATCCCCTGAAAGCCACTTGAGGCTGGGAAGGGTGGGGCTCCAGGTTTCTTTACACAAGCAGACTGCCATGGTTTCCAAAGAGAAGACCACGATGCTACAAGGGAGGGAGTAAACAGACTATGTCCACACTGGCTCGTGCCCTTGGAACAAGCTCTGAACTTGTGAGCTGGTTTGCTGACTTGGAATGAAAGGCTACCATATGCCTGCCTGTCTCCCAAGACTGCTGAGAGAAGGGAGCTGGATGCTGGGTGTAAAATTACCAGCAAATGGGAAGGCACTTTAGACCCAAGAGACCGTGTGGCTATGGTCACCAAGGAGCGTCTGGGACTTGTCACCCAAGGAGCGTCTGGGACTTGTCACCCAAGGACAGCAACCAAGAAAGTGATGGGACAGCCAGCAGCTTCTTTGGAATAACTGCAGGTACATAATGGTTTGAGAAAAGGAACCGGCTACTCTACAGTGAAATGTTGAGGTAAGAAGACAGTTCCATGAAACTGTTCACCAAGCAGACCAGAGGTTCACATGAGAGGTCTGCCAGGCACAACCACAGTTCAAAACCAACCCTGTGCAGACACTGGAGGAAGGCCTCTGACGAGCGAGAAGAGAGCAAGCCAAGCAGAGAGGAGGCATAGCTGCCATCTTCCTAAGGATGAGTAGTTTTTACCTTTTCTTCAAACTCAGGAGCTGTTGCTTCAGTGACGCCAGTCAGCCGACTTCCAGTCAGGGTGACCTGAGTGACTCCTGTTGAGAAATCAGACATGAAGGAGTAAGAGATGTGTTGAGATCGGCTATCTGTCCTGACTCCCACCCATGCTGAGAAGACAGACACATGCTCACTCCTCCAACTGCCAGGTGAAGGACGGACAGTCAACCGCCGTACCCGAGAGACAGCCCAAACTGGTGCGCCTCCTACGAGCACCCCCAGCAGACTGCTGAGTTTGTTCCCAGCATTCCCAGGAGTCCTCACAATCTTCTGCCAACTTAAACTGGTGAGAGCATCCCTATTTCCTGTAGCCAGCAGTCACTATTGTAAAACAAGATCCAGGCTGATCCAGGAAAGGGACCAGAGGATGACAGTGAAGAAACAGTGGCCTCTTGATATATTTTTTTTATTTTTTAAATTTCATTTCACATTCCAACCACAGTTCTCCCCCCTCACCCCTCTTCCTGCCCCCCCCCCATAGTGGCTTCTAAAATAAAGACTTGGGGAAAAGAAAAGAGGAGTAATGGCATGGGTCTCACACCATTGGACCAAAAGTATTCAAGAAAGAAAATGTAGGGACCTAGAGTACAGAGCTAAAATATAAATTCTAAAATCCAGAGTCACAAGACATTAGGACGGAGGCCCAGACTGCAGGGGAAAGTGCATAGTCAGGGCAGGACCTGTAAACCACCAAAGAGTTTCCCTGGACACAGAGCTGGGAGCATCGTCCCTAGGGGCCTCACATAGGTTCAGCTGCAAAACTAAACCAGTTGGTTTTAAATGTCCACACCACATGTGAAAACAGATACCTGGAGACACATCACCCTGCCGCTAACATGCACTCCCCTCTGCAAACACTCATCCTGGCTGACCTCAGAAACTCCCAGGAAGCTTTCGGACTTAGAAATGAACGGAAAAGGACTTGGAGACACAGAAGAACAGGACATCATTTCAAAACGACGGCCACTGGTTCCTTTGCAAACTCATACCCAGCCTTAGCTGCAGACACTTTTAGGAGGCCCGAGAGTGCCTACACTTTCGTATCTCCATGTCGGCAGGGGCAGGTCTGAGCCTTCTGGAAGGCTGCTCACCGTACTCTGAGAAACTGGGAAGCTGAAGCCACAGATTCCATTTTCCAATATCTACAGTAGGGAACGGGTCTGAGACAGAACAAAACTAGACCATAGAGAATAACCATGGTAGACTTTTGTGTGAGGTAAAAATCAAAAAGAGCTCTTGCCAACAAAAGGAAAATATTGGATAAGTAAATGTGGTGGGTTCATAAATAAAATTTTATTAAGCCATTAAAATAAAAAAACATTTTATGCAGAATTTTTAACAAAAATAACTGCAATTCTTAAGTTAGCGAGGCACTCCCCTAAGCATATATTGTATATGTTCTCTCTCTCTCTCTCTCTTTCTCTCTCTCTCTCACACACACACACAACAACAACAACAACAATTCTACCAACTCAGGAATGCGGTATTTTATTTCAACCTCACGATCAGAAAATGAGTGGCTGAGAATCATTTCTGAGTGGCTGAGAATCACGATACTGGCTCACGGTCATCTGGCCTGCAGGAGGGGGCTGCGTGATCTAGACCCACACAGTACAGCCTCAGAGCCCCTCTGAAGCTCTGCAGACTGACAAGAGCCCTGTCCAGAAAGCTGTGACTGTAACCTTGCATGGATAACTCAGCAGATACCAACAACCTTGAGTTCAAGCCAGGATGGACTCGAGGCCAACAGAGTCTGCAGAGCGAGTGTAACCCAGGCTGAGAAACTTAGTGATAGCCTACTCAAAACTGGAGAAACTTTTTTTCTGGAATTTTTGTTTGTTTGTTCACTTTAAAAAGCAATCTGGGACACAGCTCCGAAACAGAGTGCTGGCCTAAGGCCCTGGGTGTGGACTCATCCTAGTACTGCAAAACAAAACAAAACAAAAGCAATAATCTGAATAAGACCTGACTGCCACAGCTGACAGAAGCAGAGGGCCAAGAATAAGCCGCCTATAGCCAGTTGAGGGGTCAGTCCTGCCTGCACCTTGATTTGGGACTCTGGTCTCTTGCAACTCAAGGAAACACAGTTTACAGCCATTCCATACATAGGAAGCCATTGCAGCAGGTACAAGAAACCCACGCAAACACCTATACTGTGCTGCAGCCAACACAGGAGAGAACACTCATGCCTTAAGCAATAAAAGCAAATCAAAATTTATATACAATGATCTTAATTATGCATATAAAATACACACAAATACAACAAAATGTTTTTAGTGATTGTCCCTGAATAGAAACATGTTCAGCATTATGCTTTTTTATATTTTTCCAGTTTCTATAATTTAACGTGAATTATTTTCACAAAGAGAAGGGTTTCTTAATTAGCAATTCATAGTATTTCTTCAAATCTAATTCAAACACAAAGACTAAAAAAATCAAGAGGTCCAAAATTCCCTGATAATCATCTTAATTCAATCTCAAGCCACCACCTGAAGAAAACCACCAACTGAGGCCTACCACACTGTTAGGGAACTTCCCCAGCCCTCACTTTCTCATAGACTGTGTTGGGAGCAGAGAATGGCATGTTTTCCTCCATCTCTCCAGACTTGTGGTGCTGGGGACAGCCGGGTCAGCCCAAAGTCTGCGATCATGTGCCAAGAACGGAGAGTACCAGTGAAGGTAAATGTTTAATTTCTCTGCAGGTAACGTTCCAGAAGGAGACATGAAACAGCACCCTAGTCTCCTCGCCCCGTCCTGACTCTTGTCACAAGGCTCCTGTGCATCCCAACAGCCAAAGCCAGCCTCGCTGTACCTACACCTGTGCTTTGATCAGACAGACTCGCAGGGCGTATTAGCGTTTTCCCCAATGTGTGGGCAGTACTGGACCAAAACAGACAGCAGGATGTGTCTTTCTGATCTGCATTTCTCACAGGAAGGTAAAACAGAGAGTAGCTGGTTCTCTCTAGCTGAGGCCAGACCAGGTTCAGAGAACACACCTTATACGTTATCTGATTTCAGACCTTGGGGGGCAGAACAGGGAGGGAAACACTGAGGAAAGCAGAGGGTACTACCGGTAAGAGTCCATCCTACAGTCCAGGTTTCCCTAAGTACATTTCTGAACTGTTTGATTAGCTAGTCAATGGATACATGGGTACATCACCTATGATGTCCCACATGTCAAAAAGGCAAATTCAACATGCTGCCATGGAGGCTGACTCAGGATGGCATATGGCTGACAGCAATGTTATCTGGAACACAAGGATACTGGTAGCAGTAGCCAGAGAAGGACCCATGGGCAAGGGAGAGCGCTACAGGGCAGCTGGGGACAAGTGATCTAGTATGGTATACCTCTTAGGAAGCGGCCCCCACCTGCAATGTCAGTGACTAGCCAACACGCGTTGGTGTCTCCTACCCAGCCCTCCACTTCCCACAGCACCAGCACCTAGTGATGTCTACACCTACGGGCTCACCCAAGAACAAACACAGGCAATTTTACCATCTGTTATAACAGAAAGGCTGGGACTGAGTGACTATTCTCCAGGACTGGAGTTCACAACCACCTGGACTCCAGCTCTGAGGTATCCAATGTCCTCTTCTGGCCCACATGCTCAGACACACATAAATAAAAATAAAATAAATCTTTTTAAAAAGGGAAAGGCCAGAGTACACGATTATTAGGAGGAAGACATGGTACTTTCTCATACAGCCCAGGCCCACTTGCCTGGGGATGGTGCTGCTCACAGCAGGCTGGCCCTTCCCACATCAATAGAGACCCCCCCACCCCACCCCCACAGAAATGCCCACAGGGCAATCAGACACAGGTAGGGGTAATTCCTCAACTGAGGCTCTCCCTTTCCAGGTGTGTAGAGTTGTCAACCAAGATGAACCTCACAGAACAAATGACCACCAGGTGACCCCGAAACAGGACAAACGCAGAGCCTTGAGACAACAGAAAATTCCAGCCACTCTTCTTACTGATGTCCTGTTCTGGAAATTGTTATTTTCATTAGGAATGTGCAGCTGGGCTGGAGAAACACTTTCAAAAGCGCAGGAATAGGAATTCCCATCCAAAGCCCACATAAAGGTTGGGAGCCACTCGGCCACCTGTGAGCCCAGTACTTAAAAAGGAAAGGCTCCAGGACAAACTAGTCAGCTAAATTACCTGGAATTGGGGAGCTCCAGGCTCAGCAAGAGACTCCACCTAAGGAGAAAGAGTACACAGTCATTGAGGAAAATACCCAGCACCAACTTCAAGCCTCCACATTAGCACATTCAGACACGCATGCACGCACGGACACACAAAGATGACAGAGGTGTGCAAACACATGCAAATGCCACACACACAAAGAATGTCTAGATACTATGAAGCCTGGTTATTATTGTTATATCTAACTTAATATTCTGAAGTCATTTCTACTATATAAAAGTTTCTAGACATGGTCTGTCTACATGAAAGGTATTCAGATGGCTTTGCTGGGGAAAGGCCTTGAAAACACAAGGACCACAGCTTGGACCCCAGAACTCAAGTACAAGGCGGGTACGCTGGCAATAGGAGCAGCATACATATACAGATTCCAAGGAACGTGTGGGCCAGCCTGACCTCTGCAGCCAAGTTCCAGTCAATGACAAATGTCTCAGACAGAAGGCAAAAGGTACCTAAAGACCAAGAGTCAAGGTCATCCTCAGACTCGCGCTGTAAGCACTCTGCCGTATACATTCATGTTGAAATAGGAGCGGCGGGTTACATTCAGGCACCCAGCCGCCTGCACGGCTAGCTTTACCCGAAATAATTACACGGAAACTGTATTCTTTTAAACACTGCTTGGCCCGTTTCTATCTAGCCTCTTCTAGGCTAATTCTCACATATTAACTTAGCCCATTTCTAATCATCTTCATAGCACCGCTAGGTGCGCTTACTAGGAAGATTCTAGCCTACGTCCATCCTGGGTCGGAGCTTCATTGCGTGTGCTCAGGAGAGAGGAGCCTGGCATCTCTGCTCCAGAGAGCAGAGCTGACAGTCTGAGCTCACTTCCTCTTCCTCCCAGCATTCTGTTCTGTTTACTCCTCCCACCTATGTTTTAACCTATGAGGGCCAGCCAAGCAGTTTCATTATTTTTTTAACCAATGACCTTCCTCCATCACATTCACACACACACACACACACACACACACACAACAGTGAGATTCTCTCTCACATACACATTCTCCCTCACACACACTCATATTCTCTCATACATAAACACATGGTGTGGGAGAATTGTCTGTATTCTGTCAATCCTGTTTTAAATAAACACTGATTGGACAGGCAGTAAGTATAGGTGGGTCAACCAGAGAGGAAGTAAAGGTGGAGCAAGAAGAACAGGAGTATTCTGGGAAGCAGGAAGATCCCTCCGAACTCCTGCCCAGACTCCGAAGAAGCAACATATGATCTGCCCCACTGTGAAAGGTACTGAGCCACATGACTAACATAGATCAGAATAATAGGTTAATATAAGCTACAAGAGCTAATAAGAAGACTGAGCTAATGGGCCAATCAGTTTTATAACTTATGGAGATCTCTGTGTGATTTTCTTTGGGGCTTGCCGGCTGTGGGATACTGGGCAGGACGAAAACCCCAACGCGCAGGCCCCTCATGTTACAAACACACACACACACACACACACACACACACCCTATTCAAGAAAACCTCTCTAATTTTAGGACTTAGAAGAGTCCTAAACCCAAGCACTAGTCTGGTGTCGTAGGGGTCAGAGAATGGAGGAATGGAGGTTAATACTGTGGTGGCACTTGGAACTGATCTTCCAAGAGGCCAGGGAAGGGGGAGTGCTACCACAAGTGCCACTGCAGACTGGTCTCTAAGCAAGGCAAACAAAAGCACTCTGCGCGCCACAGACAAATGATCTAAGGACAAATACGATGGGAAGTCACAATGCAGAGCCCCAAAGACCCATTATTACATCCTAAAAAATGAAACACAAATTTCTACAAAAGAGCAGAAATGGAGAGATATTAAAATTTAATGGCGGAAGAAGAAAGAAGAAAAGCCAGAGCTTATAAAGCAGACTTGTATCCAAATAAAATCCTGCAAAGTGAAGGAAATCATGGCAACAAATGCAGGGCTTTAAATCTCTGAAGATGCCAAAATCAAGATGCATTTCAGGCAAGTCTAGAAAATAAAATTACAGGGGCCAGCAAAGAACAGCAAATTGAAGAGCAAAGAGGAAAAAGAAAGCACCCAGCTGCAATCCCAACTCTCGAGGCCGAGCAGTGGGGCAGCTGAGAACTAGGATAGCCTGGGCTACAGACAGATGCTAGGGGGTATATCAGTATGTACATAGTCAGACAGACAGGAAGATAAGGCAGTGAGGAGAGGACAATGGTCTCTGTTGGCAGAGCTTGAGTGTGGGCCTCAGCCAATCTCCACACACTGCACCCCACTGCTGGAGAAGGGAGGGGGAGCAGAAAGAGTCAGGTCCAGCTGACCTCCTGAGCAAGCATATGCCCTGGAAAATATCTGCTTACTCCAACCTGGACCGAGCGCTGCAAATTCACTCAATCAACTTACACAGCGATCTGCTAAATCACAAAAGTTCTGGATGGAAAACAATGGCAAATTGTTCAAGCTCATGGGGCCTCAGTTTCCTCTTCTGCACAATGAGGGGCCCACCATCTTTTCCAGGATGGTGGGCAAGAGACACCACAGAAGGGTGGCACTGTGAGCCTGGGTCTGGGACAGAGCAGGCGCTCCACAAGCAAGATTATCAGAGATTATCTGATATTATCAGAGCAGCTCTACTTCAGAGCCAAATCAGAATCTAGGGTTTTAGAGTCAATACCTGCTGAGGGCTCCCGAGGCCAGCTGTCAGAGTCTGAAAATTCACTCACATCTTAGAAGTGGAGAAGGAATTTGAATGGGTTTGGCCAAGATCACGCATGTCTAGCTGAAGAGATCTGTCCTTGACCAAGGCCTGGGTCTACGTAGCCTCTTTGGTGCCAGGCAGCCTGCATCACAGAAGTACTCTGCCCAGCAGGAAACCCAAGGCAGGAAAGGTTAAAGAAATAGCTGGCTTCCTGGACAACAGGATGGTTAATCCCATGGACCGTTCATACCCTGTTCCCTCCCCTGGGTCAGGATCACCTAGAGGTCAGCTGCCAGCTATTGCCAGCCCTGGCTTATGGAGCACAAGAATGTTCCACTGTTCACTTTCTTGTGTGTGTGTGTGTGAGAGAGAGAGAGAGAGAGAGAGAGAGAGAGAGAGAGCGCACATGTGCATGCATACATCTGTGTGTAGAGGCCAGTGGTGAACCTCAGGTGTCTTCTTCAGTCTCCACCTTGTTTTTTCATGCATAATGTCTTATTTTCCATCCAGACTTCACCACAGAGATTTGCCTTTTTTATGTTGGTACCAGAATTCAAATTCAAGCCTTCATGATTGCTAGGCAAGCGCTTCACCACCTGAGCCATCCCCCAGATCTGACTGCTCTCTTGATCTAAGGTCTAGGACTTTCAGACCCCAGCAGAATGGAAAGCTCACCCAATGGGAGTGGGTCAGCAGATCAGCTTTCACTTGGAGTAGATGTTGGGAGTTCAGTAAATAAACAGATAAAATCTAAAAGATTTTGACCTAGTCTATGTAATAAAGATAGCCAATTAAATGTATCCCAAAAAGGTCAGGCACAAAGAAGACTAAAGACCATTTTGACAGACATGATCAATTTGATTCTTCCCTCTTCTTTGCCTCCCCCAGATAATGGAACAGTCAGTATCTTCTTGGCATGCCAGGTGCTGTCCTCAGTGCCTTTGGACAGGTCTTAAGTGAGCAGGAAACTTTCTTTATGACTGTTCTAAGCACAGCCAACTAGTAAAGGTCATGAAGAGACCTAAGTCTGAGGTGACCAGGTTTATCAAGGTGCTGAGAGACCAAAGAGTAAGAAGATTGATAGTCAACAGAGAGGAGCTGGGAAAGCAGCAGAGACCAGAGACAGGGTGCCTTGTGACCACCCAGATTTCATACTCTGAAGTGAACAGGCTCTGAGAGGTTTCCCTGAAGGAAGGCACTGCTCTTTCTGTATAAGAAAGTGTGGCTGTACAGGGCTCTATCACACAGAACCATTCCAGCTTTTACTCAGTGGCCACATGTAAGTAGGACACTTTACACGCAGGAACATGCACATGCTCACAAACACACACGGCCTCCCTGGAATGCTAGCGTTACCTGGGTCCCTAGGCCAGCTCCGCAAGCTCCTGGGACTGTTTCATCAAATGGAAAGCAGTAGGAACAACATTGGCACCACTCTCTAGAATGTTGCTGGGGACAGATAAATCAGTGCACACGAAGCCCTTGCCAGTATAAGCCACGGTTATGAAACCACTGCCACACACGAGTCTCACCAACTACATCTGTCTGACTACATGCAGAACCTCCAACATTTCCATTCTGCCCTTTTCTTCCTGTGTCTTTGAAAAGCTGATTTCAGAATCTAGTAACAAGGACAATGACCTAATCTTAGAGATGTTGGCTTCAAGTCAGGGGATGAGTGAAGGCAGCAGAGCCCACAGGATTTGGTGGGCACTGGGTCACTAGTGAGGGACAGGAAAGGGCAAAGACCCTCTGAAGTGTCTGGAGTGGGGGTGTAACATGAGGCTGGGGATTTCAGAAGACAGAGCAGTTTCAGCCTGTGGGATCAGGAGACTGTACTTCCTCCCACACCACTGTCACCCTGCACAGAATGGCACCCAGCAGCAAGAGGCCAATTTTAACAATGACTAATTGATTAGGTCCTGAATATTACATTCAGATTCACAATTTCTAGACTCACGGCCTTATGCTGTTCCTGAAGCCACCATTTCTACAGCAGCGATTGCGTCTGTCACGCATTCCCGCACAGCTAAGGACTTAGGCCACCTCCTACTGCCATCCTCAATCATCCCCATGGCACTGGTGACACACAGACACCAGAACAATGCAGCTGAGGAAGAGTCATGCCAGCACCCAAACTGAAGGCCAAATCCGCACGCAATTATTCCGAAATCTCGGGACATGGAGGACACCCTGTCTGACTTGGAGACGGCACTCTCTGCTCCCCAGGACACAATTAACTCAGAAAAGGCCTTCTTCGGGCACAGAAGAGGCCATCCTTTTTCAAGAGCCATTCATTTGTTTCCTGTAGATACATAGGTCAGGTCAAGCAATTCTGGGA